GAATCTACCGATTCCACCAAAATGTAAAAGTTATTTGAAAGCACTATCGAAAGAATTGGACAGGAAAAAGTGGTACAAATTGTCACCGATAATGCTAGTGAGAATGTCAAAGCGGCAAGTATGATAATGGGTGCGTATCCACACATTTATTGGACTCCATGTGCCGCTCATTGCATCAAGTTGATATTTGGTGACATATTCAAGGTTAAGCCATATGCTTCCGGTAATCAAGCTATCCTTTAACTTTATTAAGTTTCTTTATAGTCATAGTCAATACTCAATACTCAATAATTTATTAGCTACTAATTAATTTAATTTAATCTTTCTATAACAGTTTTTAAGAAGGCCATCAGAATCCATTCTTACATTAGTCAAAGGCCATTGTTGTTAAACTTGATGAGAAAATTCACCAGAGAAAGAAATTTGGTGAAACCGGCCAAGACAAGATTTGCAACGGCATTCTTAACTTTGAGAGCTATGTACATTCAAAGAAAAAACTTGAAAACTTTAGTCCTCTCAACCGAATGGAATTCAAGCAAATTTACAGAGGAAACTTCGGGGAAAGAAGTTGCCAATCTTCTTATTATCTATCCACTTTTGGAATGATGTTGTTCGGGCACTTACAGTTTGTAGCCCTTTGACAAAAGTGCTTCGTTTGGTGGATGGGGAGAAAAAACCACCAATGGGTTATATTTATGAGGCAATGGATAGAGCCAAAGAAGATATTGCACATGGTTTTCGTGGAGTTGAGAAGCATTATGAGAAAGTGTTTCAAATTATTGATGCAAGGTGGTCAGAACAACTCCATCGGCCTTTGCATGCTGCAGGCCATGTTTTGAACCCAGGATTATATTATAAAGCTGAAGAAGAGGGAACTTTATTACAGAGTTTGTGGACGGAGTATTATGCATGTGTTGAGAAGTTGGTCCGTGATACAACAATACAAGATGCAATAATCGCTAAGCTTCCTAAGTACAAAATGGCGGATGGACTATTTGGTTGTGGTCCGGCTAAAAGAGCTAGAGACACAAGGTCACCGGGTAAGTGGGTTGATTTAGATCTTACATACTTACTTATATTATTTGACTTACTTATAGTCACTAACCTTTAAATTTATTTTATTATAGTTGAATGGTGGTCACTATTTGGTAGTGAAACACCAAACTTGCAAAAGTTTGCCATGAAAGTGTTAAGCCTAACTTGTAGCTCATCTGGATGTGATCGAAATTGGAGTGTGTTTGAACACGTAAGTAAAAATTTATATCCTATTTTTCATATTATATTATTATCAATATCAACTAGTTAATATCAATAACTTATGCACAGATTCATTCCAAAAAGAGGAATAGGCTTACACTATCGCGTCTCAATGATCTAGTGTACATTAAGTACAATAGAACATTGAAACGCCGTTATGATGCTCGTGATCTTATTGATCCAATTCGCTTGGATAACATAGATGATTCCAACGAATGGTTAGTTGGATGCCCCGAAGATCAAGAAGATGAACTAGTATATGAGGATGATGATCTTACTTGGGGTAGTGTTGCTACGGCAATTGGAGCGGACGAGAGTATCTATCATCTTAGGGGACTTTCTTCAAGATCAACAGTACTTGACAAGGGCAAAGGAGTAGAAAGTACATCTTTAAGTTCTCAAGTAGGACTCGGACACTAATTGATGAAGAATACGAGGAGGAAGAAGATGAAGAGCAATATAATGATGTAGAATATTTTGATCTTCAAGAGTTGGATATTTTTGAAGAAGAATAGACTTTTAAAGTTTTGGTTTATTGTATTTTGAAATTTGAATTGTTTGGTCTTTAAAGTTTTAGACATTCTATTGGTTTTTGAATTGAATATTTGCTATTGAATATTTGCTAATATGTGTTATTGCTATTAAGACTTTGGATAAAATATGCAATTAAATATTTTTAATTTTTGGTATTAATTGGAGCCTTTATTCAAAAAGGCAAGCGCCTCGCCGCTCGCCTCACCGCGTGGCGAGGCAGGCCCTTGTCGCCTTTTGTCGCCTCTCGCCGTCCACAACACTGGGGTGAGCTAATGCTTCTAGCTTGGACTGGATCTTACTCTTCATGTCTTGATGCCTTGATGTTCCGGCATGGACTAGCTTTTACGTATTTTAGCTTCTTAGAAACTCATAGATTTAGTAATTTGGGGTAGATGTTCTTGTGATGATGACTTTCAGATTTTGGGTATAATAATAGTTATTGATTTTATTAATGAGTTTAAGTCTTCCGCATTACGTTCTGTTGATATTATATTGAAATGTTTAAGGTTTAGATCGGTTGGTTCGCTCACATAGGAGAGTAAGTGTGGGTGCCAGTCGCGGCTCGGTTTCGGGTCGTGACAAACTTGGTATTAGAGCATTAGGTTCGTTGGTCTCATCACACAAGAACGAGTCTAGTAGAGTCTTAAGGAACGGTAGGGGAACACCTTTACTTTTCATTGAGAGTCTAAGACTTTAGGAAAATTCCATTCTTTCATTCTTTCTTTCGTGCTATTACTTGGATCCAATTGGTATCTAGGTGATACAAATTGGTATCTGACCATCTTCACTCTATTTCGCAGATGGTTAGAACTAGAGCAACAACCGCGCCAACACATGCACCGGCGGGACAGGGTGCGTCTGAACCAGCCACTTGGCTGTGGCTAGAGGAAGAGTAGCGGCAAGAGGCCGTGGAAGAGGTCGTGGGAGGACGTCCTCTAGAGGAAGAGGACAAGCACGTAGCCCATCTAATGCTAGGGCGGTGACTCCTCCACCGACTGAGGAAGTAGTAAGAGAGCGTGAGGAAGGGGAGAATGAACAAGTGCAAAATGAGGAATTGCCACCCCAACCTACCCTAGAGATGATCAATCAGGTTCTCGCTTATCTTGGTGGGTTGTCTGATCAGGGTCAAGCACCTCCAGTGTTTTCTGCACCAACACCTCCGATTTCAAAGGTACAACATGCAACCACTATGGCTCCTCGTATGGATGCCTCATTGGACAT